AATTCAGATATATTGATATTGAAGGAACGTCGATATGTACAAAAAGCCACAGGGCTGAGGCTGAGGGGAATTGACTTTAGCCGCTCAAAGATAATCAGTTTCGCTAGTTTAAATGTTTCCTTACAAAGTGTAACTGCACAGATGGGATTTTGAGGCATGTGAAAGACTTGTCCACACTTGTCTGTCTCTAAAGAGAACGGCGCATTTTCACAGCAGGATCCACGTCATTTAATCAGACCCTCCGGTATGAAACAAATCTGAGATGAATCTAGCACATTATGCCCTGCTAAAAAAAATGATAGCAGCCCAAGTTGGTTTGCAAGCCTGACCGAGCTCGTTAGGCTAGTCTATTTTGATGATTAAGAAGAAGGTTTCGGGCACTTCTTAACTGGTCAGGCTTGGTAATCAACTAAAACCAGCAAATTACTTTAGGTTAGTTTATTTACTTGTAATTATTTACATTTTTTTTTATTCAGCAGGGTTAGCATTAACATAATGGATCTCAATACCAAAGAAAAATAACTATATTAAGTTAGATTATTTTTGTTTCATCCACATTCCACTGATCCACGTCATTTAATCAGACCCTCCGGTATGAAACAAATCTGAGATGAATCTAGCACATTAGCATGCCCTGCTAAAAAAAATGATAGCAGCCCAAGTTGGTTTGCAAGCCTGACCGAGCTCGTTAGGCTAGTCTATTTTTATGATTAAGAAGAAGGTTTCGGGCACTTCTTAACTGGTCAGGCTTGGTAATCAACTAAAACCAGCAAATTACTTTAGGTTAGTTTATTTACTTGTAATTATTTACATTTTTTTTTATTCAGCAGGGTTAGCATTAACATAATGGATCTCAATACCAAAGAAAAATAACTATATTAAGTTAGATTATTTTTGTTTCATCCACATTCCACTGAAAAACACATAAAATCACAATACAAATCACATATTTTTTTCCTAAAATACTTGCTTGACACATGAGGAGACAAATGCGCAACCTCGTCAATCAAAGAAACCGGAGAGATCCGCTCTAATTCTGTCTGTGTGTGATTTCAGAGAGACCAGCAGCCCAGAGTCATGCAGAAAGGGACAGCATATGAGAGAGAGAGACATGTGGGAGGGAGAAAGACCATGAGAGAGACATCTAGACGAAAACAGTAACAGAAAATGTAAGAAACAACAAGTCGACAAACCTTGATATGAGCAGCCCCCATCCCCCCCAAACAAACAACCAGCCCAACCTAAAGTAAGCAGTAAAGTTTATCCTGTCTTTCTCATGATACAACACAAAATTCATATTTGTGAACTGACACAAGCACACACACACACACACACAGCTATATATAGAGCTGCCATTTTAGACATCCCTGTGACATATTTTTACTGTTAATCAGCAGACATTCAACCGAGGTGTTTAAAGAGTCGAGATAGACAGCTCATTTCAGTCAGAGAGACAGATGGCTCATTTCTGACAGAAAGACAGACGGCTTGTTTCAGACAGAGAGACAGACAGCTCATTTCAGTCAGAGTTTGAAGGCAAGAGGGACAGCAGCTGTCCAAATAAGGGGCCCATTTGAGATAGAAAATATGATTTTTAGGTTACACTTATATAGGGAGGAGTGTTAACCTTTGGGAGATGATTCCAATGTAACAAGGGGTTGAAGGATTGTGGTGGACAATATAACCAGAATTATATGTCATGGTATGAGTAATTTTATAACACGGGTCATGTGTATTTAAAGTTAAACCCCAAAATGAAAATTCTGTCATTAATTACTCACCCTCGTGTTGTTCGAAACCCGTAAGACCTTCGTTCATCTAACGACTTTATTCCACATTTTCGTTTCTACTGCGTCACTTTGGACGTACATTCACGACAGTATAATGACGCGAGCGTGTGGCGGCGCTGACCCAGATCCGGGGTAATGACGTCATCACGCTGGATCTGGGTCAGCACCTGCGCCGCCACACGCTCGATGTCATGCTACTGTCATGAATGCGTGTCCAAAGTGACGCAGTAGAGATGAAAATGTGGAATAAAGTCGTTATTTTAGTTTTCTTCGCGCAAAAAAAGTATTCTTGTAGCTTCGTAACTTTACAGTTGAACCACTGATGTCACACGGACTACTTTGTCGATCATCTTGGTACTTTTCTGGACCTTGAACGTGGTAGTTACCTTGCTGTCTATGGGAGGGTCAGAGAGCCCTCAGATTTCATCAAAAATATCTTAAATTGTGTTCCGAAGATGAACGAAGGTCTTACGGGTTTCGAACAACACGAGGGTGAGTAATTAATGACAGAATTTTCATTTTTGGGTGAACTAACCCTTTAATGATATTATACTTTTTTCTTTTTTTTCTCTGAAAATTCAACCATGAAGAATTTATGTAACACATGTAACCATTAGTTCAAAGAACAGCTTCATTGCAAACATTACGAAACGAAAGACTCAAAACAGTAAAATATTACGATGCTTACGATGTTAAATTACATATGTATTGCTGCTGACTTCTACAGTAAGTAATCCCATGCACTAAAACAAGACTTTCCTCTGAAATATCCTTACTGATGTCAGAAACACTGGTCAACACAGATTACAAATTACGTATTTAACTTGCGTTTTTGTATTGAGAATGCAACAATACTTAACAGCAATACTTAAGAATTTGAGCATGTGTAGCTAGAAGCATGCACTATGCTTTCTAAAGATCTATCGGCAGAGGAAAGAAAACTACAAAGAATTTTACATTATTAATATGAAAGACTGTGGGTCATTCTCAGTGTTATTGAAGTATCGTTATGCATGTTATATTTTAAATACAGTGTTTTCAGGCCATGCTTCTGTTAAATTACATATATTGGATACATGTAATGTAATTACACATATATAAAAGTGTTGGCAGATTTCGACCATCATGTGGTTCAGCTTTAACTAATGGTCAGAGTTTTCATCCCAAATACATTTTCATATACTTTGGAGACATGCAAATCACTGACCTACAGTCCCGTATTTATGCATATCATGTTTCAAATCCGAAAATCAATAGGCATGACCTTTTTATATATCTAAAAAGATTGACCAAATATCCAGTTCTGAGTTAAAAACCACAGCATAGGTCAAGATTGCAATCGAGTTCCACAGCAAAAGAACATCAAGAAAGGAAACTATTCCCTTGATGGAAAACTGGGTTATGTATTTGCCTAATAACAGAGGCAGGTGAAAGTTATCTCTTCGTAAAGCAAAAGTTCAACCTTTTAATTCTGTTTTGTCGAAAGGCTATGGCCGCCAAGAACGCTGTTAATTCTGAGATGTGTGATTTGGCTGTCTGGAAGTCACACAGAAGCTGTTCTGATTTGAATTAAGATGGAGATGAAGTATTTTTATGAATACAGGCGGGTGGCCGCCGGTCGAGGCCACGGTTCCCTGCTATTCGTTCTGAATGAGCCCAAGGCAGCAGGACACGAACGGATATTATTCAGTGCTTTCCATAATTAAAAAAAGAACGGCTCATATTACTCACAATCCTTAACGGCAAATTGGCCAGACATATAAAGCAAAGCTTTCTTTCAAAACTACTTAGTCCCATCGTGAAATAATCCAGTGACGTTCAAAGAAAAACTGTAATTGCTGGAAAATGATGGCGTTAATTTATCAGAAAATAAACCTGCACCCTATTACTGTACATGAATGAGTCGACATGAGTGCTGTTGACTCTATAGTAAGTAATCCCATGCACTAAAAAAAAAAACCTTTCCTTACTGAGACCAGAAAAACGCTCTGTGAAAGTCACAAATGCCTGGTCAACGCAGATTACAAATTACGTATTTAACTTGCGTTTTAGTATTGAGAATGGAACAATACTTAATAGCAATACTTAAGAAATTGAGCATGTGTAGCTAGATGGACTTTTAGATTCTAGATGGACTAGCTAGAAAGATCTATCAGAAGAGGAAAGAAAACTACAAAGAATTTTACATTATTAATATGCAAGACTGTGGGTCATTCTCAGTGTTATTGAAGTATCGTTATGCATATTATATATTAAACACAGTGTTTTCAGGCCATCTATCCCACAATGTTGTGACAGTTTTTTTTAGCTTTTAAAGTTCATCATAACATGACTCACTCTTGCGAAGCAGTAAGATCGCTCCGATTATCAAATAAGCATTAGGAGCTCAGACTAATACAGCATTCAGCATATACAGCCCTGATTTATTTCTATAAGAGCACAATGCCACATTTCATGGCATTCGATGGCAGACATACTATCAATAAAACGGCTCCACAATACTTCATCACTGCTTTGCATTTCAGCTTCATAAAATCCCAGAAAATGCAGTTTGAGAAGATGCACAGAATACAAATGAGTTACATCCGAACTTATAGACAGCGTTCGGCCCACGAAATGAAATCAGAAAGATGAGATCTGAAGTTTCTAGGCTATACTCGAGAGAAACAGGGAACAGACCCTCAAGCAATCAATCTTTCAAAGTTTCTGCACAAGTGAAAACTTCCAGCCATGGCTATGGCAGTAACCCATTTAATTCAATTATAAAAATGCATTAAAAAGATATTACGGCAGGGACAGAGTGTAATGAGGCGTGTTTACTTGAGGATATTGTTTATAATGAGCAGTTGTAGGGTTTAGGCCTATAGTTAGACCAGGACATGAGAGTAAACAGACGGAGATGAGATGAGGGAAAACTCGGAAACACTGTATGGTCTTTCTTTTAATTTAACCAGAAAGAAAACGAAGGCAAGCTCTGTGTTAATGCACACAGCTTCCCAAGAACCTCAGGCTATCTGTCTTGAAGGAAACAGCCATTATTTATCTGAGCTATCAGAAATGTTGTCTGTTTCAAACGTCCACCACATAAAAGAACACAACAACAACAACAACAAAAAAAAAAACAGCACCATACTCACTCACTCAAGAACAGCATGACTCCGACGATGTAACGAAAGATTTGTGATATTTCGAGAAGAAGAGAAGTCTTACCGTCAGAACTCTGTACAACCGTCAAGACGAACACCAGGCCGCAGAGGACCAAATACTTCCATTCTGAACATCCCATCCTGGCTCTGACTGGACTCTCCGCTTTCCACATGTCTGGGTCGAAATCACTGTAGTCACAACGATCCGGTGAAGTCACTCTGAGAGATAACCATCATTGACCTCCGAGCCTGCAAGAAAACCACAGCGGACTGTCAGTGTTTGGCTGTCGATGAAGAACTCCTCAGGCATAAAAACTTCCTCCTATAAACTGCTGCAGTCTCGCTCGCCTCAGTTACTCCACAGGATTTAGTTTTTTCCAGGTGCAAATTTACACAGAATTCATCCCAGGAGCAGAAACCCTCTATTGGAAGGTGACTGAGACCTGAAACAGGACCTCCTGCATTACAAACCTCAAAGGCCGTCGTTACTGTTTATCTGACTCTCCTCTCTCAAACCTGTTCCGCTACCATCCTTTTCTAAAGGGAAACAGGTTTTTTTTGTCCACTTAAGCTACCGGTGCATATTCTCCAGCCAAAGATGGCTCATGTCATGTACAGTATCTCATCCTTTAAATGTTTTCCTTCTCTGCATGTTTACACCCTCCACCAGCCTCCCATAAAACACACTCACGGCCTCATGGGAAACATCGTCACTCCAGTAACGAGCCACTTAGGAGCCCATTAAAAACAGTGTGTGCACCCCCTAGGTTTCTTAAAGATACACTAAATATATCACACCCCCCTTTAATACTTCATCGCATTACAGGGTATTTCCTCATGTCTGGTCAATGAAAGTATGGGAATTTTTGCTTCTTGGATTGTCATATGGCCATGAGGTGAGAAAATGTGATTAAAAACATCGGGAGTCTGTTTACATTAACATAAAGTAGAGGGGTTCACTGTAATAGTGCATTTCTGTATTATCAGATGAAGAATGTCTAAATGCTAATGCATTGTCTTAAACTTATTTATTTATTTATTTAGTCATTTATCAGACGCTTTTATCCAAAGCGACTTACAAATGAGGACAACAGAAGCAATCAATTGTAGTATTAAAACAACTAAAAAAACAAATCCAAAACTAAAAGCTAAAACTTTATAAATACTACCTATATATATTTTAAAAATAAAGAGATTAAATAAAAATGACAAATGCATACAACAAAATTCCATAAAGCTAAAAACGATTCAAAATAGTAAAGAACAAAAGGTATAAGAGTATAATAATGATTCTAACATAACACTAAGCCAAACACCAAAAAACAAAATATTAAAGAACAAAAGGTATAAGAGTATAATAATGATTCTAACATAACACTATATAAATTCAATATAAATATTATTTCATTTCCATTTAGTTTGTTGAAGTATTAAAATAACTCTTTTAAATAAAATAACTCTCTATTAAATAAAACTAAAAACGTAATAAAAGATCTATACAGACATATGAAATTCAGACATAATTTAACTAAAATTAAAATAAATAACAAATACAAATAATACAAATCAAATGACAGTAGTTTATCAGTAATCCTAAAAAATAACACTGCCAAACACACATGCTAAAAAACAACAACGTACTTACACATAGTAAGAAATGGTTATAAAAACTGAAACAGAAGCGAAACAAGTAATAGGAAAGTTATCAAACTTATCAAGGTTATGGCCTTCTGTATCATTAGCATTCAAGAGTCAACAATGCGGCTATAAATAGTATAGTCACGTTGTTGTTTTGTGTGACAGTGTAGATATGTTATACTTGACAAATCTTGTCAAGCGTGAAAAAAAAAAACATCAACAACAAATTATGGACAGTAGAACTTGTCAACTGTAGGACTTCTCAAAGTGAGACTTGGTCACTCCAATGATGTCACTTCATCTTCATTCATCTTTTCAATGAACAGTTCACTACTATTTAATTTTGATGTAGTTAATTGTTTTATTTCATTCGTTTGTTCGTTCGTCCTCCAAACAAAAAAATTTATTCACTAATGTAAAGTAACATGACTGTTTTTGCACAGCAAGCAGATTATTGGATAATTTAAAGGGGTGGTTGATTGCGTTTTCACTTTTTTAACGTTAGTTAGTGTCTAATGTTGCTGTTTGAGCGTAAACAATATCTGCAAAGTTACGAAGCTGAAAGTAGACGTGCACTAGAGGCGGTTGAGCCAATCACAACATACTGGGCTAGCTAACCAATCACAGCCCATAGCCTATTTCCGAGGGAGGGGCTTCATAAAAGAAGGAAATGATCAGCACGTTTCTCAGAGAGGGGACAGAGCTGTGTGGAATAAAGGTAAATTATGTGAAAAATAATGCGTTTTTAAAAAAACGAAGCATTAACACGTTAGACTGCACCCCATAAACACAATCAAGCCTAGAAAAAAAACAGTGAACCACCCCTTTAATTAATTGTTGTTCACTAAAAAATGTATTTCTGAATTTAAACTTAATCACCCTCATGACATTCTTTCTTCTGTGGGAAAAAAAATATATAAACAAAAATATATTTTGAGAATATCTCAGAATGGATGTCAATGTGGACCAAAATTGTTTGGTTGCCCACATTCTTCAAAATATCTTCTTTTGTGTAAATGATGACATTTTGTTGGGTGAACTATCTTTTAAAAAAATAGACTGGCTATAAATTAATTTGAAATATACTAAACTGCAAAATATGTACCATCATCACGTTAAATATAATATTTAAGGGGAGACACTGCAGGCATGAGATTTTCCCTCTGTAAAAACTTTTGACTCTAATATGTCAGAAAAATTAAACAAGAATTTTGAAACTGACATCATCCAGTGTTTAGATTTTTGTACTAGAAATGTATGCAAATTAGCGCATATTTCATTAAATAATGACTCATTTGCATATTTAAACCTAACATTTTAGGAAACTTGTAATACAAAAAATGTTTGCAATTATCAATGTAATCAATCCGCTGGGTAAGTAAGGCCATAACTTTTAGTTTTTAGTTTTTTTTTACCCTATTCACCTGCAGTGTCTTGCCTTAATAGAACAAGTTTTTGAATTCATATATTTAAGCTGACAAAACAATAGATTATTTGTGTGTTTGGTTCACATTAAATCTTTCCATTTAATGGGAATACTGAAACGGTGAGTGTAGCATCATTAGCATTAGCTTTAGCGAAATAACAGCACAATACAGCCGAGCCTCCCAGCCTACTTAGGATCTGAAATAGAGAACTGTATTTACCCTAAAATCATCTGTGTTGAGTAAAAAAATAAATAAAATTACTAACGAAGTCGGGGCAGTGGCGGCTCACAGCAGGTTAGCTGTGAAGAAAAATAAACGCATAAAGGACGAGGGTTGATCCCTACATAGTCCAGGGGTGTTCGACTAAATCATCGACAACAGCTCCGTACTTTCATATCTCCGTCTCACGCTGTGAGCGGTTAACATGCTGATCAGTCTCCAGAAGCGGAGCCATGGACGAAGGCGGCCCGCCTGACTCCCGCGCTCCTCATTAAACGTGTTGAGGTCTCTCCCCTCCGCGGGAGGCCTTATCTCCCTAAGCTGCAGCAAAGGCCGCTGATCAACACCTGTTAAGTGCTTCAAACAAATACTGCCGTTCCAACGCCGACGCGGCACAGCGGGACGGCCTGTTGTCGCTGTTCTGTGTGTTTTGTGTTTGCAAATCAAATTAAAAACTCCAATCATGACAAATTAAGACAGCAACCATTCATCTTCAAAGGATTCCGGCCGGGATGTTTGATACCGGCACTCCCTTTGAATACGGCCCGCCGTTTTACACCGAAAGCTTCGCCGAATTGGGCAGCTTCCGTACAAACCAACAAAGCTATGTAAGGACTGTGATCGATGGAGAGGTCCAGACCCAGAAGGCTTTTTCACAGCTGTGTACATCTGCTCCAACAGACCAGCAACACTCAACAAAACAGTTGCGTGAAATAAAAAGAGGAACTTTGAAAGAACATTCCACTTCTCTGGGTGAGAAGAGAGCCGTTCAAATCAGAGCTGAAAGGCCAGTTTGAGATGTTAATGCCAAAACAGAGAAACAAAGGGCAGATGTGTAATTATGCGGCCGTCTTTCTCCCAAGCGGGAGTGAGACCCACCGGAGAATAGAGGAGGAGTCTTCCATTCAGAGGGGTGGGTGCAGGAATAATGCACAAGAGACAAGGCCGAGGGGGGCGGAGGGGGGTTTACAAACTTTACAATGTGAGATTGACAGCTTGCAAGTCTCGCTTGACCTCTGAATTAACCCCCAAGCTTTCAATGAACTACAAAAAGAGCCATGAGATCGATGGTCAAAGAATATGACAAGTGTATAAAAAATTGACCCATAAACAGGGACACGCATTCACACAATAGAACTCAAACACACCAATGTCGGGACAAAGCACACAAGCTGACAAGCTAAATCTTCATAAATCATGCAAATCATGAAACATATCTTTTCCTTTAAGTACATTTTTTGTATCATTTTAAACATTCCATCAGACTTAAAGTGTTAACAAACTGCAAGCTAAATCTTGTGAAATTGTTATGTTGGCATAGACCTTACGCCTTCAGAAAATGTATCAGAAGAGTTGAAAGTAACAAGAAAGTGAAAAAAGAGGAGACTCTAACTCCGTAAAGAGTTTACATCTCTAAAAAAGGATGATGAAATCAGTCAGATTTTTTTATTATTTATATAATAGATGCTTTAAAAAGAGAACAACATTGGAGTAACAGGGTTGACACATAACCTGGAGACACTACCTCAAGACTTCAATAATATTACTGAGAAATAAAATGTAGACATAATATTTGGAAGCACTGTTTGGATAGGCAAAAAATATATACAACAATAACAGACTTACTGGCTTGTTCTCAATGTATTTAGACAAATGTCTAGTAAAAAGTGCTAGTAACGTGATGTTATTTTTTTATTTTTGAATGAGGGACACAAATGTCACCAGTTTTCCAGACCCTTAATTCACCATTAGCAACATGAAAATTAGCCTGTGACGAGTTTGTTTTCGATGTTTTAGTATTTGTGCTAGAATATCAGGTCAGTGATCAGATGACAGTGTCCCATCGAGGCAGAAACGCTAGAGGAAATCAATCAGCGGTCCAGGGATGGGCCAGTTAATGCACAGCCACACATGAGTCATTCGGAACACATCCTATTTGACTCCACTGTCATGCATTCACCTTTG